ACAGCCCTTAAAGCTGGCAGAATGGGCGTGGTGATGTGCACTCATTGTTATAAAATTGACATAATGTGGCTAAATTCCACCTAAACTTGTAATTTAAACCAGGCCCGAGGGAGGCTTTGTTCTTCTCTGGTTCAAATTTAAAACACACCTAACTCTACTTTTCTCTTCACTAGCTTATTGCCATTTGAGTTGCCTTTCCTCAAGAGAGATTGTAAGCATGATATGCTCCTACAGGATCATCTGTGATGTTTCATGCTTTAGAAATCAGAACGGTCACCTTTATCCAGTTATATAACTGCCCAGTTGGCACCTTTGCTTCTCTGAGGTTTTCAAGCCACCTCTTTCCTGCCTTATTGCTAATCAGAGAAAAACAGTGTTGTATGCGCTTAACAAACATTCAGGTTAGCAAGGGGGAAATTGGAGTTTGGTGTGGTGTCTGGTATATCCTGTACCTGCCTGCATTATTCTTGATATTTGAACATTGTCATCTGAAGTGGCACACACACTACACATGACTGTCCATTTCATGACTGGTATTTTTGTGACATCTGGACAAAAACATGGGAAAACGATCTAGTTTGTGTACTATATTTGCTTTTATTTGTGTCTGTTTTTGGATACCCTGTGATTTAACTATCTTTTTATGTATACTGTACTGAGTTGGGAACTAACACTGATTCCAGATGCCTTGTTTGATTTTTTTTTCCCTTTAATGGTACCAATTATAGTACTTTTAGAAAGTCTTAAGTTTGGAAAACATTTAAAAATTGCTTCCTTTTAAAGGGGTGTTGCCAACTGGATTATACTTACAGTTTACATTTTCTAAATATATAGAGAAATGTATACTATGTGGTTTAAGCAAAAACAAACAAACCCTAAATATGATAAAGTAAAACATTTATTTGCATTTAAATAGTCCACTGCAGTTTGGCCAGGCCAACCTTGCAGCATTTGCCCCTTTATAATTATGGCTCAAGCTACATGAAACGCAGAAATAAACAGCAATAATCGGAAGAAGTGTGTTAGATCTTTAAAAATAGCCATTGGAGCAGAGAGTCTGGGAGCATGTAGAACCCCCTGGTTACAGGGCCCACCTAGAAACAAGGAGACCCGGGTTCCAGCCCCCTGCTCCATTGACTATATCTTTATTTATATGCAATGGGAGAGCTTCAGGGCACTAGAATGAGAGACTTCAGCCCCAGAATACCCCATACACCAGTGATCAGGAAACTCTCCTAAGAGGTGAGAGACGCCTCTTCAAATCCCTTCTCCAGATCAGGCAGAGGAGAGAACTGAATTTAAGTTGCCCACATCCTGGGCTAGTGCTCTAACTACTGAGATAAAAGTTATAAGTGGAGTGGGGGGGGGGACTCCTCTTCTTCACCCACCCCCTTTTGAGTAGGATTTGGTGTGCTCTGAGCATGCCTACTGGAGCAGTCCCCTCAGGCAAGATAAACAGGGGAAAGTCTGTTTTGAGAATCCGCTGGGGCTTATAGTAGGGTCATTGATGCAGTAGCTCAGGATTTACTGGTGTGGTATGCTGACAGGTTTTCTGTTCCATCATTGATGATGACCAGAAGGCTGCATGCGTGTGTGCTCAGTGATGTGTGCTCAATTAATCAGCACAGCGGACTCCAAGAGAGCCCCCAAAGACCACAAACCAGCTAAGGGTTGAAGGCACCTGGCCAAGTTTATTGTTCAGTGAAGTACAGTCATCGTTGTCAGTAGACACCACTCATATGTCTCAGCTCAATCAGTGGGAGGTCCCACTGCCCCCCCTTTCAAGACACCACTTGATATACAGGTACAAACAAGTTACACATCACTCCTGATGTGTCAGGTTACCACCCTCTGGTGCTGCTTAAATACCACCCATCACCCTGTACCTCATGGTTTGATTAGATCAGCTCTATCCATCAGCTGTCAGTTTTTAGACCCTTTCCTGAACCTGGGTGTGTATCTCTGAGGAGTGTGAGTAGCAAGGTCTTTCTTAACAAGCTGGTGGTACTTTTGGAATGTGCTTTAGCTTATGACCAGTACCAATTGCTGTTCTGCACCTGGGCCTGTTACCAGTTAGTGCTTTGCACTCTCAGCCCTGTTTGGGCCAAGTTCTATGAGCAGGAGCCTGCCTCTTACTCACAGCTTAGCTTTGCTTTATATTAGCCAAGTTTTGTCCATTGTTAGCTGGGCCTCAGGCTTCAAACCAGGCCTGTGCTACATGGGTTTTGTTTCAGGCCCTCATCTTACTACAGGGCTGAAGTGTAAGAAAGTTGCACAAGTGCCTAGACTGAGGCAGCTGTGCTCACTGGCAGAAAACGTAGGCACTTGGGCTAATTAACAGTGAACATTTAGTGACCTACGGAGTCATGTAGCATCTGCACATGCAGTTGGAGGATGACGATGGCACATAAATGATAGATTGTGCCTAAACTGTCAGTTAGGTGCCTACATTCTCCTGCCGATATGGCCATTAGTCACTTTCTTCATTCTGCTGTACAATACTAGTAAGCAGAGTTTTTCTTCCTGTCAAGAAATTTTGAAGTTTAAATCCCATTTATTGTTTTTCTTTGTCTTTTCCTCAGTAAATGAATGTGTTTCAGGTTATAAATGTGACTTTGGAAGAGGCAGGGATGGGACAAAAGTAAGGATTTGAAACCATCCACCGGAAGACAAGGAAAACAGTCCCTATTTCTTATTTATAATAAAGGAGGAGCAGTAGATCTGATCAGTTGTGTGAATAGCTTTGCTATGATGATGTGTAAGTCCTGGGATAATTATATCAGTACCAGTCATTGAGGGTGCATCTACACAGCACCTTTAGCTCGAAATAACTTTTTTCGTAATACTTTCAAAATAACTAGTTCTGAAATTTCCCTTAATCCTCATGGATCCTCAACTTTACAGAAAGCTTTCTGGATTTAATTTAACTTCCCTTTGTCCCTTTCTTTCTGCTTCTCATGAAAGCTTCCCAAACCTCTATATAGAGAAATGTATACTATGTGGTTTTCAGAGTCAACTTTACAGAAAGCTTTCTGGATTTAATTTAACTTCCCTTTGTCCCTTTCTTTCTGCTTCTCATGAAAGCTTCCCAAACCTCTGAGCTCACAAAACTTATATGCTAGTAGTACTCTGGGTCTCCTAGGTGCTTTACAGACAAAGCCTCTGAGCTCACAAAACTTATATGCTAGTAGAACTCTGGGTCTCCAGTCAAGGTTTCCTAGGTGCTTTACAGACAAAATTCTTGTTTCAAGGAGTTTACACTCTAGCCTGACAATGCATAAACAAATAATTAGTAGGAAAAAGGGGAAGGATGAGGCTACCGAGTTAGACTCTTATCTGCATAACTTATATCAGTGTGCTCAATCTGAAAGTTCAAACATATTTTCTTGGTAATTATGATATTAGTAGCTACCCTATTTCTTAATGCTAATTTTTCAATAGTGTAGGCCAAGGATATTCAGAATGGAAATGGATCCAAGCTACAAAATTCAGACTAGAACGTCCCCAATGTTGATTGGTGTTCAGATCTGGTATTCTGTTTCAGGTCCACTTCTGATGCAATTGATTTCCTGCTTGGCAAGTGATGAATGAGCCTATCAAATTGCTGAGATGTTATTCTAGTGCCACACCTAAAGTTTCAGCAATACAAGTTCCAGAGAGAGTCTCTATATTGAAGATCATGATTAGTTTGATTTTGTTCCCATTGAAATCTATGGTAAATCTCCTATTGTCTTCTGAGGCCACAGAGTTACTCTACGCTGAACACTTGAAAATGCATAATGGAAATAATTCTGGAGCCAGCGAAAACTTTAAATGTACTCATGAGAAGATAATTCTATTTAAAATTTGTCTTCAAATAATTGAATTGTTAAATTCATACAACTAATTAATCAAAACCATCTATGGTGTAATCTCGTAATACATGCTAAGTATTGCTGAATACTCATTTCATACAATCACTTAATGATTGTAATGGAAAGTTGACTGATAAAAAGTATTGCATTACCACCTCCATAATTCATACACAAAGTGTAAATAAAATTAGCACAATATAATGTGAGGAAGAATTTAGGTTATATATATGTGAATCATAGAAGAGGAGTATAGTTTTCATCACCTGTTGGCAACTGACACACACAGTCCTATACAGCAACTAATTCAGGAGTCTTTAGTTCAAGTAGTAGAGACACATGCTTCTAACACTGAGGCTGTAGGTTCATATCCCACTGACTATCTAAAGGACTGTGACTATATCTGTACTAGCCTCTTCTGCCTATATTTCCCACTCTTACGGCTCAACTAATAGTTGCTAGCGTACACTGTCCACTGTGATTAGCAGCTATCAAACCATGTGCCATTGGATGATCTCTGCTAGCAAGACTAGGAGACACAATACACCTAGATGCTCCCACTATTGGAGAAGTGCCCATACTAATTTTTAGCAGGGAAGTAGAAATAGATACACTAATACAGTTGTGATAAATTAATGAGTGTCTTTAGATGTTTGTGTTTTGTGGGAAATATGTGGCATGAATAGCCCATTAAGCTCAAGTTTATGATTAATAAATTAAAAAGGTTCTCAACATTTATTTAATTTATTTATTTAACTTAATTAAATATTTTTACTCTGCCTTTCTATTTAAAATATTCAAGGCAGCCAACATGAATTTCTTGAGGTCCCTTTCAGCCCTACATTTCTAAGATTTTATGAAAATAGCATAATGAGATATTTGGCCCTCATGTTTAGCTAGAATACTTGCTGTTTACATCTCTCCAAGTTCTTATGCATTTGACAAGCATTTGATTATTACTTGCTCCAGGTAATTTAGGACAAACTTGAACAGGTAATTTCTCCAGAGCTCAGTTTTATTCTCCCACACCTCACTTCCCTCAGTCCTTTATTCTCAAGCTGAGGTGTCTGCTGAGAAAAGCCGCTCCGCGTCTCCCTGGTCTGCTGGGGGGGGGCGCTAGCTTCATGTCTCCCTGGTCTGCTGGGGGGAAGCAGCTAGTGCGGGGTTGCCTCACCCCGTTTGTAAGTAGGGATCTGATGTAAGTCGGATCCATGTAACCCGGGGACTGCCTGTACTTGCTCCAGGTAATTGAGGACAAACTTGAACAGGTGTGTAATTTTTGGTCCTTTCTTCTGGTCAATGTCATTTTGTCATATTTAACACACACAAAAGTTCTCAGTAATTGCTTTCCATGGTTAGGTGAGAACTGGTTTGGTTGAGAAGGGCAAGGAAAACCATCGAGTGTTCTGGCTGCTTTGTTATAAGGGTGCTCCAGGGATGGAAACAAGAAGCATGTTGTCCGAGGCAAACTTCTCTCAGTACCATGAAGTAAAAGGGATTTCTGTGACCGAGTAGGAACTCATACTTTACAAGTGTTGTCATCCTCTTTGTCAGTGGCTGGCTTGTAGATGACTCTTCTGTTATCTTCTCGTTCCTTTTGGCAACTGTAAGAAAATAATTACATGAGCAAAGTGAAATTACAAATGAGAGAAAAGCATCAAGAATATTTTAAAGCATTTTATTTTACAGGGTATGCGATGAGTCTCTTAGTACTAATGCACCTGGCAACTGTCACTAGGGTCTGTATTTCAAAGTGTAACTGTTTATGCACCCTCAAGGCCGGTGTTCATAACAAGGGAAAGCTCTGAGTACTCAAAGGGGAAGTAAGCACCATTCTCCCACACAATGCACCCAGAATGACTACTATCAAGGCCCAGTTCTCTTGTAAGTATCAGTATATACTCCTGCCCCACAGCACAATGCAGAGTTTTGCAGAAATTAACATTGCACGTGCAGACTTTCCTTTGCAGTGATGCTAGCCAGAATGGGGGGGCTGCTGGACCCAGCAGAGCCCAGCTTGCATATAGAAGACACTAGTGGCAGGGGGTGGGGGCAGAGGAAGAAAGCACTTCCCCACATGCCCTGAGGAAGGGGAGGATGGCACACACAAATCTCTATGCAAGTCTGGCATCAGGCAGTTTCTCCCTCTGGATGCCTGGGCTCTGGGGGGAGGGGAACAGGTGCTTGGGCAGGGTGGACCACAGCTGGGTTCAGGGAGCAGGAAGGGAGTGCAGGTATCTGAGCTGGGGGACCCCTTATCTGCACTGCGGGGGGGAACTGTAGGCGTCTGACCTGCTCAGCTGGGTTGGGGGGGGAGGGGAGGCAGGGAGGAAGAGAAACAGGAGTTGAGTTGTCATTGGGGTTTCTTTAACTCTCTGCTCCTGAGAGAATTTGTGTGCGTGTCTGTATTGTTACAGACAGACCTGCTGACAGGTATTTTGAAATAAATTACAAAATAATTTTGCTTCTCCTAAAACTGGCATAATGATGTAGCGTTCTTTTGAGACTTCTCGTTCTGGTGGAGTACCAGAGTTGACAGGAGAGTGCTTGGCAGTCAGAGATGCACTAAATCCACCCCTGCTGGATCAGTCACTGCCTGTCGATCCAGCGGGTAGTGAAGACACGCCCTTTGGGAATGTAATGTGAGCCTCACTGAGGTATTTTGGCACCGCTATAGGGATTTATTCTAAACTCACCTTTCTTCGAGCTTGAGGTTGTGGGATAAGTACATTGGGACAAAACTCCTCTCCAGAACGAGTCCATATTTATTCTCTATTGCATATGAAATGGGTTTAATCTGCTAAAATCCACTAATCATGGAGGAGAATTAGCATATTTACTGTGTTTAAACAAAGCAAAATCTCTTACCACTTCTTCCTAAGCAACCAAAAGGCTACTGCAAGCATGATGATAATGCCAAGAACACTGGCTACTGTAACTGAAAGGACAAAACCTAGGAGAAGGAGAAAATGCAGAGGTAATTCTGTCTCTGTCTGTCTGTCTATTTTAAAAAAGAGTGCTGGCCTCTGATCAATCATTGCAGATTATTTCCATCTATGCTCTATACAAAACCACTTAAAGGAAGTAAAATGGCAAGTGTATTCCTTTATTAGGTAAACTTCTCAAAAGAGGCAAACCTTACGGTCCCATTCCGCAACTGGCTCTACACAGGCATACGTCTGTGGGCCTGGGGAGCTCTGAATTAGCACAGCTTGCACAATTGGGACTCTTTGTGTCTGTTGTTAATTAACAGGCAAAATTCAAGATGCAGGCCCAATTGAGAGCAGGAATTTCCCCAACACCCCCCCAGTTTTGTGAACTATGGTGCCATACAGCCCACCTTCACCCTCACAGTCTCACCCCTCATCAGCCCTGACAGCCCCTGTAAATTTGAACCCCCCCTCACCTCCCCAATTTCAATTCCTGGGGAGGCTACTGATTGAGAGAGAATGTCAAATGAGTACTTGCTCTCTTTCTATGCCCAAGGAACACACATGAATGCAGCCCCTGCTGCAGGTGGTGCGGTTTGTAATTGAGAATATTACTGTCTGGTGGTGCTATCAGAGTGAAAGTAGGTAGAGGATTGAAAACACAATCAGTTCATGTTTGCAAGTGCTTTTGAGATGATGTTTTGGATTAACACTCTCAAACTTGAGATTCTGCAGATCAGACACTTGTAAATAATTGGGTCAAGTTTAATCATCAGTGGCAGAGTGACAAAGATCAAACACTGGGTAGACATGCACATCTGCACTCCATGAAAGCAGCACAATGATCCCACCTTGCATCTTATATGTTTATGTTTATGTTCATGTTCTTTTATGTACCTTTTATGTACCTTCTGTATTAGGAACTAATAGGGGAAGCAGAGGTGGGTGACAACCTGGGAAGCAGTGATCATGAGATGGTACGTTTCCAGATCCTGACCGAAGGAAGAAAAGAGAGTAGTAAAAGACACACGTTGGACTTCAGAAAAGCAGATTTTGACTCCCTCAGAGACCCGATGGGCAGAATCCCCTGGGATGCTAACATGAAGGGGAAAGGAGTCCAGGACAGCTGGCAGTATTTTAAAGAAGCCTTATTGAAGACACAGAAAGAAATCATTCCAATGCGTAGCAAGAGAGGCAAACATGGTAGGAGACCGGATTGGCTTACAGGGGAAATCCTTGGTGAACTTAATCACAAAAAGGAAGCTTACAAAAAGTGGAAATTTAAACGAATGACCAGGGAGGGGTTTAAATGTATAGCTCGAGAATGCCGGGGGGGGTTATCAGGAAGGCGAAAGCGCAGATGGAATTGCGACTGGCTAAGGATGTGAAGGATAACAAGAAAGGTTTCTACAGGCATGTTAACAAGAAGAAGGTGATCAGAGAGGGTGTGCGGCCCCTACTGGATGAAGGAGGTAACCCAGTGACAGATGATGTGGGGAAAGCTGAAGTACTCAATGCTTTCTTTGCCTCTGTATTCA